CCCTCCATCCAACCTTACCCCAGAAAGCAATTTCCTTTGGAATTGGGGCCGTAAAGATTATGTTAAATAAGGCCATTAAGATGGGCTCTACTACAGTTTAATGGGTATCATAGGATGAGGGAATCAGGACGCAGAGAGACACTACCGTTCTGGCCCACAGATAAAAGGCTAAGCCAGACACAGAGAGGAGGTTGCTAGGAATGTGCCAATTGGGGGCTTCAGAAGAAACTAAGACTGATGATACCTTGATCTTAGAACTCTAAATTCCAAAATGGTGAGAAAATACATTTTCTTGTATTTTGTTATAGCAGTTCTGGCAAATTAATGCACATATATTTACATTTTTCCAGAAGAACTGATCACCCCATTTCCTATTCTAGTTTGTTTAGTCCTTTGATTAGTAATAGGTGGAAGTTAGTCCTAGATCTGAGGACTAGATATCTTAAGGGACCATGGGCAAACATCTTTCTGAGCCTTCTTTTCTTATCTGTACAATGTGGGGAGAATGACTACCTGTCTCATGGAGTGGTAATGGGGAGTAAACTGATGAGATGTTTGTAAAGTCCAATGCTTTCCAGTGTATGGAATGTAGGTGACATCTACATGGTAGAAATTTATATGTGCAATGTATCATTTACACGTTTGCTTGCCATCCCTGCTTCTTTTTTTTTTTTTTTTTATCAAAGTCCAGCCAATTCCACAAATTCTCCTTTCTATTTGAAGTGTCACATTTTTTGTGCTATTATTTGATTGCTTTTTCATGTGGAAAAGTGGCTTTGATCAGCCTCAGCTTGAACCTAAGATTATACCTTCTTAAAGTGAGTTGTAATGTGTTTCTAACACATATTCTAAAACTCCAGTTTATTAGTTTCATTGAATGATTTAATTACTTTGTTGCAAGTATCAAGCTCAAACAATTTTTCTTTCTGGTAGCTATTTATACTTGTCATATAGGTAGGAAGAATTCAGGGTCTATTTGGAAACTCCACTCAGGCAATTCCACAGTGTGAGGCTATTCCTTAAGGGTATAGGGATTCAATACTTGATCCAGATTTGGCATTTTCCACAATGTTTTAAAGATATATTGTATGCTCTGATCTCATTCCTGCTACCAAATGGTTTGTAGAATAACACCCTGTTAGTTTTTAATTCAGGATGGAACGTGTTTCCTATATATTTCACCATGATTCATGTATCAAGATTCTTCTATGACAGTGGTATATGCTGTTTGCCAGTATTCAAGGTGCCTTCTGCCTTTTGCCAGTTTCTGTCTTTGCCTATAATCTAGGCTGTCATCACCACGCTTTCTGTCCACAGGAGATTTTTCTCTCTCTTACCTGTTACAATTATGTTAAAATTTTCACATTCATCTTTTATTCAGGTTAATATGTGCTGGATACTGACCATGTAAATGGTAATGTGCTACTGTATAGTATTGCTTATATTTAGAATAATGCAAGAGTCCCGAATACAGTACTTTATTTTATTTTTAATTTTGTGTATATGTATGTGTGTTTAGAGGATAAAAACAGAGTCCTGCACATGTTAGACAACTGTTTCACAACTGAGTCATATTATTAGCTGTTTAAAGTTTATAATATTTATTTGGAAACATATATGTATGAGGCTATATATATGTAAAAGATTTATTTGTTTTTATTTTATATGCATTGGTGTTTTGCCTGCCTGCATATATGTGTGCGAGTGTTAGATCCCCTGGAACTGGAGTTACAGAGAGTTGTGAGCTGTCACGTGGGTGCTGGGAATTGAACTCAGGTCCTCTGGAAGAGCAGACAGTGCTCTTAACTGCTGAGCCATCTCTCCAGCCCCACAAGCATGTATATATTTTGACATGGCTTTTCACACCTATTTGTTGTCCCAGCTGGATGGCTGTGTGCTTTATCACTTTTTTTTTTAACTCAGCAGGTTGTTGAATTCCCTTCATGTTCTTCAGAAAAGTGTTTTGCCAATCTGTTTCACATGCTTTTCCCTTTTCAGGCTTTTGTTTTATAGACCACAGACCACCACCTAGTTTGTGATAGTACGATGCTGGTGATGAGTGATTTGTAAGCATTCTATCTCTTTCTGCTGAACTGGGTTATTTTTCTTTCTTTGCTTTTGCCAGAAGACCAGACCTCCACATGCTATGGACTTGTTTTTATTCATTTAACACTTAAGGAGTTGCAGGTAGGTCAACTTTTGCCGAAGGAAATAAAGCATTCAGAACTCATTCTAGTCAACAATGCCTAATTCACCAACATACTTTCAAAAGAAAAGCCAGACATAAAAAGACGAAGAAAATCCTTTAGCTCATATTGACACCCGTGTTTGGAAGTGAACAATGGGTCAGAAGGGAGAAAAATAAGTGAGAGAAGACAGTTAAGGACAAAGATACATATTACTAGGACTCATTTAGAAGTATACCAAAATCTAGTTTATAACAGATATGGAATTTGTTTCTACACTTAGTTTTCACCCCTCCAAAACACAAAAAATTGGCTATTATCTCATCAATCTTTAACTGATAGTCATTAACTAATCCATTGTCCAAAAACCTTTAAATGTTTTTTATAAGTGAAATATTGTGCCAGGTACTGAATTAACTAGAAGTGCAAAATTCCATTGTCCCTGATAAGAAATTTGCTATCTAGTTGTGACAATGAGAGTATAAAGGGGGTTACAGAAAAGTAATGCAAACCTTAAGATGTCAAAATGAGAATGTGAGCATTGATTTGAAGATCCAAAAATCTGAGCCCTGTGGTTCCTTTGCTATGTACCTGAGTAATTCGATTAACATTCAAATCTCCCCTTTTCTTCCTCTTATCTCCTCTTTTGAAAGAGAAAGGGGATGCAAGTTTCATCCTATATCTAAGATATAAAACAATAAACATTTGGGATGATTACTAATGGTCTCTTTTGTGATGCTCAGATTGAAGTATGCTGTTAGGTATGGCCCCTGAACTACCTGTTAAGAACAACCAATCAGGGCTCAGAACTACATCTTCCCACGATGGTGCGCTGCTTTGTTTTCCTGAGTGGAATAGAGTATTTCCCAAAAGGATCCAAAGTGAGAGAAAGCTTAAAATACTTCTTGACATGATTTGAGAGAAATGTTTCCCTGAAATTTAGTTTGCCTATGTGAAGAAGGGGACTGTGGGTCTATTTAGTAGGCTGTGCAGAGCTGGGCAATCAATTCCTTAAGATTTGGAAGCCAACATTTGATTGAAAACCAATTCATTTTGGTACAGATGACCTGTTAAGTCATTAGGAGGCTAACAGTTTGTAGGGATTATTTACAAACACACGTTAATTGAAGATAGCAGGGCTGCGAGGCGAGGGGAGCCCAATAGATGCACCTGGCGACAGGAAGAGATTCAGCGAAAGAAAAGGCTGCAAAAAAAAAAAAAAAAAAAAAAAAAAACCCATTTTTCCAATGTGGTCCATAAAAGAGACCCAAGGTAACCCTTCCGCAGCCTCGGACTCCGGGAGCGCCAAGTTCTCAAGCTTGCAAGCATTCTATTGATTCACACTTGCGTCCTTCAACAGGTAGCGCCAATTACAGCCCCCAAAGCACGGCGCCAGGACATACTGGCTGGTATGGCTGTCAATCAAATACCTCGCCTACTTGCCTAAATTAGCCCCTCCTCCTGTCACTGGCTTTTCATCTGACCTATCCCCAAACTTCATTCTTGCCTAGAGTCCCAGGGACTCGGGTCAGTGGAGCTTGTGATTGGCGAGAGGATGTCCCGCCCTCTATCGCCTA